CCAATCCCTCGGAGCCGTACACTTTGTTTAATGCAACTCGCTCTTGTTCGGTCTTTCATTCTCGAATAAAAATAGACGGGAACACAACCCTGAACCCGATACATTGCATGAAGTAATCCGATCGGAATACGAGATAATTATTATTAATTGCTATGGAGCTTCGATTACTGTCAGTCGAACGAAGAACCGATGAAAAGTTCAAGAAGGTTTATTCCCGTGCTTGTGAATTAAAATATCGTGATGCTTGCCCAGTCCATGGATCGTTTCATCGTGAAGAATCGGTGTTACCAAAGTTTTCTGGGCAAACAACGGGAACTATCCGAGGTCCTCGTTTCCTGGTAGATATCAACCACGGGTCGAAAAAGAAAAATGGTGGAAACTTCACCCAGAGGCATCGTAATTAGCGGTATAACAACGGTACGATAAAGAATTCAGCCAGGTGAATTATACTTTCCCGGTCGACGAGGAGACAAATCATCGGTGCTCGATTCCACTTCAAAAAGTGGAAATGGATGAAGTCTTCCGAAGTCACAGTGCGATACGAAGGCAAAGGTCGTGCGGCTCTTCGACGGTGTTTTATGCAAAGTCCTCCGGGTCGCCAGTAGCGATGCAAATTTTATTAGTCCCGCGTTTTATCATCCGCATCTACGCGGAAGAAAAACGAACATGGAAGGGAATCGGTGGAAAACTGTTCTGGAAGATTTCAGTGTTCCCTGGGAAAACCGTGAAGAGGGGAAGAGGGGAGTTGAAGGTGGGGGAGGAAAAGAGATCCTGGGATGATGGAAGCAGCGAGCGGGAGCGAACGTAGACTTGGGTGGAGGGTAGAGAGGGGAAGAAGTCGTTTCCGCTTACGTTTTCCCGGAGAAAGAGCTGGTTGGTCGTCGTCTCGAGGACGGGTAGGTACGACGAAAGGAAAAAGTCCGGGAAGAGCCCGCGAGGAAGAACGTCGATAACGTTGGAAAAACGTAAAACGCGCGCCCGCCACCGGTCCAGGAGAGCGGAGAGAAGGAAACGCCAAGCCCCAGTGTAGTAGTATAGGGAGAGGAAGAGGAGGAGAAAGAGAGAAGAGGGTGAGCCAAGCTTCCCATCGAGCGAAAGAACGGCTCAGGCCAGAGAGATGAGCATGGAGGAAAGAAGAGGAGAGAGAGAGAGAGAGACACGGTGGATGGAGAGACCAGCAGCGGAGAGAGAGATGAGAGGAGGAGAAAAAGAGAGAAGGGTGGCGGAGGAGACCGTAGAAGAAAAGGGGCCACGAGAAAATAGCGTCTTCGCCGGTGTGTAGTGCGGGGAGGGAATCGAGGGAACGAGTAAATGGAGCCAACGCGCGGAGGAAGAGGGAATGGCCAGAGAAAGAGGGAGAGCGAGTGAGGGAAGGACACGAGGGGAGGGTGGTCGAGAAAGAAACGATGAAACGACCGGAGTAGACAAGGAGGTGAAGACTGGTGGAGAAGAAAAGAAGGAGATGGAACTTGAACGATATACGGGGGTAGAACGAAGAGGGGGAGGCCAGCGCTTCGTCGTCGTCGTCGTCGTCTACTCCGCGAATGGCAGAGAGACAGACGGGGAAAAAGAAAGAGGAATGGGATCCGAGGGAGGCGAGGTGAAATTGGACACAAAAAGCTCGAAGAAAAATTGAGATGAATCGTGGAAGGGAAGATCGGTGGGGAAAGGAAGGGGAGGATTCTCTGAAAGGGAGAGACCAACGCAGTGTCCTTCTTCGAGGCCGCGAAAGAAAGCGCGAAACGCGGCTTTCGAGGGATGAACGTTACACGTCGATACTATACGTTATTTTCCTGGCTGATTACTCGTCGGTAAAGCCGAATCCGATCGTTTACGCTCGTCGATTATAGTATATACGCGCGATTCCTTCATTTCGCCCACGCGTATCGACGATCTCCGAGGACCGACGAATTTCAAACGTGTAAGTGAAAAAATAGGTTGTATATGTGAATCGGCAACTGCAGAAAGGGGATACAGTAAATACTCGATGAGTGTTCGGAGGATACTTGGCACTGAGGAGGAGAGGTCTTCAGGTGTAACGCTGACTTTTTAACGAAGTTCAGCACAGTGATAGATCTTGAATTCTGAAGCTACATATGGCCATTTGTTTACGAAATATTTAATGTTCAGTGCTGAAGAGCCTTCGATCACTCATCGAGGGTTTACTGTAATCGAAACATCTACCCTATACGTTATCCAGTGACTTATGGACGTGAATAACTTTCGTTTATTGCATAAACGAGATACATCTAGAAAATAGCCCCTAAAAATTTTCGTCTCCTGAAAATTATAAATGCTTTGGACGTATCCCCTTCCTACAGTTATCGATTCATACGTGTACAACGTTCAATCCCCCCCCCCCCGCTTTTATTTTCGTTTTTGTTTGTTAAGACCGTTACATCGTCGTGGTAGCCAAGCATTATCTTGCAAAGTAGTTTATAGTAACCCCATTCTTTCGCGGTCAACTGTTTTACATTTTTCGCGTTCCATCGTGGCGAGCGTGGCGACGGCGACGGCGGGTCTTTCGAATCATTCATTCTTCTCGCGTCCCCCGAACTGATACGACCCGCCGTCAATATCCCTGTTTGATTCGCGCGCCTGTTTCCGTTCGTCGTCGAGAACCGCCAATAGAGATTACACTCGGGTCGGTTGTTGATATCAGTGAAAGTATCCCGGGAAAATCGTTAAAGGATGTCTATATAACGCGAGAGAAACCCCGCGTAAAACCGTGGAAGAGATCGGCGGTGTGTACGCGGCGAAAGATCCGACCGTTCGTGAAAGCGTATCTCGATCGATTCGATCGGGCTGGGACGATAGCAACCGGGCAAAATCGATCACAGCGATTCGCGTTTCATTTGCACGGAAGATCGCGATTCGTTCTGATGTATCGGCAGGCAGTGGCCGGTCACTTTAGCAACGCAACACGACTGCATGCAGTCACTCGTTCTCCATCCGTATTCACGACTGTCCACGTTACGAACACCTGCTTTTCCCTGAACTCCGTGCTCCGTTTTTAATCGGTCTTCGATTCACCCGATCACACTTCTGGAGAAATCGAAATCGTCGTAATTTCACGTAAAACATCAAAAGGAACGAACACGCTTGAACCGAGGAAAAGCTTCCATCCAGAATGGATACTAGTAAAAGTGTAGAGTTTAGTTTCGTTTAAAAGCGCATCGTAGGATCCACGTCTCTTATATTTGCCGCCGTCGTGTACAAGGAAAAGAGTAAAATTGATCGATTATCGTCGATTCGTCGCCATTCTTCGTTTGTTATCGGCGTATTATCAGTTCCCCTCGAAGCGGTGTACCCGGTTAACCCAATTTCTTGATATCGATGCACGTACTCGCGACGTGTATGTTGTATCGAATAGGCGTTTTTCGACTCCTGTATCGGGAGGAGAATACGAGGGGGCTCGCGCGCGCGCGCGTGTGAAACCTGGTTAACCGAATAGCAGGTAAAAACCGACAGGTAAGTGCATCACCAGGTGCGCGCTCGCTTATTACCCAGCGCCGCTACCTGCGAGAAGACCCGTGCCACATAGTATATAGGAACCTTTGGACGGGGCAGTTCCCGATAATTCCCGATAACTGACGTATCCACGCGTGGACGATTACTTGTAGAAATATGTAACACGGGAAGTAACGTTTGCATCGCGGTGGGAACCGATTCGTTAAATAATCGGAGATTGTGTTGAACAAACAAAGGGCGAGTCGCGGTCTGTCACCTTTTGGTCATTATTTTCTGTTTTTCCGGTTGATACACAGTTCGATTGACGTTCCGTCGTCAGCCTGTGTTGTGCATCATCTTTTATCGATACCAGGCCAGTAAAATGGTATATCGAAGTGAAATACTGGGTAGCCGTGGGGAAGGCAAGAAGGAATCCGGAACGAAGTTGGAAACGATGCGAAACGAAACAAGACAAGAGACACGCACGAAGAGCTTAAAGTTTTCACGTTATCGGCGCGCACGTCTAAGCAACTGATAAACGTACGTGTTCCTACGGATAGATAACGCGGAACGGGCCGTATGAAGAGTCACATAGATAGAGGCAGATAAAGCACACGGGTCCACGGAACAGGTGAATGTTACACCGAGACAAGACCAACGCCCCGGAACCTCTTCGTATTACTTTTGCGGTCTCGATTCGCGCCGATACTCTATACACGAGAACGCCCGGTTTTCGATTGTGGATCACCGGCAAAAATTAACGGCTTCCGGTCACGAATAATACGGAGGCCCATCGGATCATTGCTCTTTCTCCTTCGTCCGTTTTTCTTTCTTTTCCGCGGAACAACCACGGTCGAACGTCGTTCGCGCGGGCCCCTCTTATCGCGAAACTCGAAGGAAGAGAGAGTTTGTGTCGGTCGTCGATCATCGTTAACGTTTGTCGGCTTCGATTGAAACCGCGAAAGTGTTTTTTCTTTTTTTGTTTTCCTTTCTTTTTCTCTTTAATTTCGATCAGACCGGAAGGGACCGATTGTGTGCTACCCCAGTCTGTTTCCGTGGAACTACTACACCTTTTCCATTCTATCTTTCGTGATCTATCTACGATTTTTCTTATCCTTCGGTTACCTTGCCCATCCTCTACCTTCACTCTATCTTCAACTCGGTCTGTACATCTTATCTCCCTACGCCTTGCCCTCCTCTTTTTTCTTTTCGTGCAAACGTCACCGATATATCCTCGTCGTAACTGTGACGGAAACCGAGAAAACTAAAGAATATTTCATGGAGACAAATCGTTATTGGGGCGTGCACTACAGGTACTGTTCCGCTTTGCGGATCGATCTTGAAGGCGGAAGGGCACTGAGGAATGGTCTGGGTTATGTGTTGTCTGTGTGTATGCGTGCTTTCGTGCGTGTGTGTGTGCAAGGGTGGGTGGGATGTGGGACGAAGTGTCTTCGATGACTTTTAGACGGAATGTAGGAAGAGAGAGAGAAAGAAGGGACAGAGGAGAAAACGGAACGTAACAGAACGGATCTGGTGTTTTTGTGTTGTAGCGGCGGCATGGCCGGGCAGCACTACTGCCTGCGCTGGAACAACTACCAGTCGAACATGACGTCCGTTTTCCATCAACTTTTACAAACCGAAGCGTTCGTGGACGTCACACTGGCATGTAACGAGGCCTCATTGAAAGCACACAAGGTGAGCAAACTTAAATATACAAGTACCAACAATAAGACGGTAATTTCGAGTCTTTCCACGATCTCTGGACCCTCTCAGGTCTTGATTTATTCTTCACCAAAACATCATTTGTTTCGCGCAGGTGGTATTGTCAGCGTGCAGTTCCTATTTTCAAAAACTACTACTCTCGAATCCCTGCAAACACCCGACGATCATCATGCCACAGGATGTCTGTTTCAATGATCTCAAGTTCATCATAGAGTTCGTCTACAGGGGTGAGATCGACGTCTCGCAAGCCGAACTTCAGGTAAGAGAAACTGACAAATACTGCATTCTAAAAATCGTGTGTGGTATTATTTGTTAGTGCACGATGTTCTCAGTTAGGAAATCGAATTTCGGGGGATTTGGAATTGGGACTCGACTTGAGATTGGGGATTGTTCGCAATAATTCAGAGTGTATCGGGTTGTGTTAATTAAATCGGATTGTAGCGATATTTGGTATGTCTTGAACGAATAGACCGACAACGCGTTATCTCGTCTTTGAAATGCATTTGCAAAGTGAGAAGCGAATACGGATAGGTGCAAGACGATCCAGACTTTCTCTTCGTTGCGCATTGTTTCGCCCCGTTCGCCTCGCATCGATCGCAAGCCGATCCGCTTGAACACTTTTACCGACAGCAGGGATTCCCCGCTCTCCCGGTCAAGCGCGCACGTGTGCATCCCTGCAAATCCGTCGGAAGTTAACCGTTAACTTTCTCTTCCTTCCGTTCGAGCAGATCCCCTAGACGGATTCCGTGGAACACAGTTTTCTATTTTATCAGTCGACGGTTCTCTGCTTTACCGACACGAGGTCGTTCGATGGTACTACAGATTCCCTCGTTCTTCCAGATGGCGCTATGGGTTCTCATGTAAACGGGGGGAATCACCCAGAGTCTCTCCCAGCCAGCTCTCACTCATATAATGCGCGCGATCCTCCCTTTCCTCTTTATATTCTCCTTCCTTGTTCTCGATTCCCTTCGGTGCTCGCTATAAATAACGGTGCACTCGGTGACTGAAGGAATCGTGCGCGTTTCAAATGTCCACTTTCCCTTTCGCGTAAGTTTAATTTTCAATCGCGATACCACGGTTCACCGAGAGAGTCCTCGTTTCGTGACCAGTCTCCGAACCACCATCCGTGAACAGCTCGCGTTTTCAAACTCATTTTAACATTCGAAAAAAAAAAACGATCGTAATTTCGCTTCAGTGCTTGGATAGAGATCAAAGAAACGACGACAACGAGTTTCGTTTGTAAAGTAAAACTAACGAAATTGTCGAAAAAGTGACGACCCGTAGTACAAAAAATTCTTCATTGAATAAAATTTATTTTCGAAAGGTCACACGGAATAGTGGTAGATATTCATTAACATTAGTTTACTGAAGCACTTGGAATACGTTAGTATGCGCTCGTGCACCGCTGCACTTTTCTGACATGGCTCGGGCCGGCTATTTGAATCGTACAACGTCGGACGACGAACCTGCACGGTGTACTGTGTTTTGAGTACGAGCCAAATTTAAGCCTACTATTAATTGGATAGTACGTGTCTCTGCATTGGAGAATAATCTAACGTGCTCTGCGGCGCACGTGGACATCTCTTTCCTTCAAACAACACGTAGAATTTTATTTTTCGATCGAAATTAATACTTAACGTTTTCAGAAAGAATTTTCATTTCTAGCGTGGTAAAGTAGTTTTTAGATGGCTATAACCATGATTATTCGTTCAATTTCTTTGAATTATATACGAACTAAAGCTGATCGACTCTCAAATAGCGGGGACTAGACATCAGATCGTTTAAATAGTATCGGCACGAAACCCATGCATGTTTTACTAAATCATGAATGGACACTACCATTATTATGCTTTCCACTTTCGCGAGATCAATAAGACAGTCTTCAACCCCGTCTCGTTAGATTCCATTGTCCGGCAATCAAGCTACTACTACTATGTACCCTGCCCGCGTGCAGTGGCACTCAACCATTATCACCTTGGCTATCGATTCCAATACATTCACCGAACTCACGAAACTTGTCTTGTTCTCTATAAAATTCAACGACAACATTTACCCTTTAACCAATTACATATTTATCCATCTTCGATTTCGCAAACCGTACATACTCAATGTGAATGTGAATCATGATTCTCTTCTTTTCTATTTTTGTTTTCTGCCCACTGATAATCCAGTTTCGCTTTTCTGGTCACAAGACCCGCAGAAAGTCTATAAAGGCTCGAAGCCACTATTTCATCAAAAAACCGGATCAGATCGATGAAATATTCACCGGGCTAAAACCCGTGTCATCGTCTTTCGACCCCTTGCCCGGCGCGAAAATATGCCAGGCCAGAGAACCACCACGGAGCGAGAGGCCGGGGCGGCGATGCTTCGAGTTTCGTTATTTTGCCATTTTTTACCTCCCTTTTGCCCCGCTCCGTGAAGCAAAACGTGTTGGCACGCAACGATGCTCACGCCCCTGATTGGTGCTCTTCGTTCAGAGTTTCGTATCTCGCCTGCCAGCATTCGCTTCGGACATAATTCAGAGCCCGGGCCCCGGAGAGCGTGAACTTGCGCGGCGATTTCTTTCGAATGAAATCTTTCTAGTTTCTTCGGCGGCCGCGCAGAATTCCCTCGACCATTTACCATTATCGCCGCGGGTAATAGTTTAGGCTATATCCCCTGATCGACAAGCACCACAACGATGGTAAAATGAAAACTTCTAGACAGGGCCCCAAAGGTGCCTAAAGAAGAACCCGCGTAGCATCGTTCCGCCACTCTATGTCCGAGAAATGTTTTACGTTTCATTTTCGGAGAAAAGCCTATAGATAGGAGCCTGACACGCGGTCCTTCGACTCGTTGTCCTTGACACGAGAGTCAAGAGACGACGACGACGTACGGAGAAAACACATATCGCTCATGTGCATCAATAGTGGAGGCACTTACGTTGCTCGAACGTATATTCACGGTCATAGCCCACGTTCGTGTGTCGCTTGGACGTCTCCGATGATGCTCCGAGAGTATTCTGACCCGATGTGTCGAGTCAGTCAAGAAAAATCTTTTATACCGTGAACTTTCCAGACGGTTCTGTTGATCCGAAATTAACAGCTCAATCGTGTGCTAAAAGGCTAGTAGAAGGGCGAGGGGGTAGAACGAGACGAAGAATGCAGTCCTTTATCAATTGTACTGGCCGGCAAGGAACATCCGAGCACTGGCGCACGGGATAAGGATAGTATTCTCTACTGACCTCGTTCTCGATCGGTATCTCCTTTCTTCGAGTAGTTCGCGAGTGAGTGAGAGAGAAAACGCGGTCGCCGGTAGAGCGATCGTGGAACCAAGGCACGCAAGTAGACCGGTATCTGTTCGCCGTCCGAATCCACGAAGTTTTCGCGGTAATTTCATGAAATTCGATCGTGACCACGTGTAAAATCAAGGGAACGCTAAACGGTCGGCCATCAGAAAACATCGGCGATAAAGAGTAAATGGTGCGTCGTATCGATACGGGGGGCGGGGATTTACAATGCAATTTAATTCCCCCGAACCTGTAGGTACCTGCCGCATATTGGCAGTACACACGACGACGACGACGACACAACAGACGAGAGAGATAATCGATACAAGTGGTTGTGTGCTGCGAGGAGACAGTTCACCTCTCTGTACGGTTTTAACCTAGAGATCGAATCAATAACCGGGACTAGAAATGGGCTTTCTAAATAGCGATTAAACAACAATTAATCGAATCCTGCCAATATACCGAACGCAGAGAATACACGGGGAGAAGGATTGGATTTGGTAATAGTGTATTCAACGATTCGATCGGTTGATCTGCTTTTGCACGTCCATTACCAGTGGACAGTCTATTCTGCCGGGAGTTCATACACCGTGGTTATTTTTTTGTGAGGAAGATTTTCTAGGGCACAGAGAGGAGTCTGTAATATAAAATAGATCGACGTTAATACAGGGATGTAGTGGGGATTCGTTGAACGAGAGTGACTTAGCGAACGATGAAAGTAAAAGATGTGGTAGAAGCTGGCGAATTAGAATGGATTCTTTACGAGCTGTCTGGGACTTTAAACGTCCCTGTAGTACCTACGTTACCAGATCGTAAAAATTTGAAACGTTGCTTTCACGACTGTACCGCTTTCTGTGCCCCGGTCAGGAAGCCATTCACCAGACGTCGAAATATATATCTAAAAAACTGAATCTTTTCGATCCGAAAACGGTTGTTTCCACAGCAGATTCATATTTCTTTGAAAATCAGAAAGTAAATTTTCTCTACCTAAAACATCGTACACTCGTTCCTACTACACGCAACATCAGCTCAATGTTAATGTCTCTGTTTCCACAACTTCCGCTCCTCCACGTGACCAGATTTGAGTGACTCGCGAGTTGAATGTACCTTCGAACATGGATGAACATTACTTCACGAATAACAGGAGTCACCGTACTCCTCGATGGGATGGAAAACGTTCGATCTTACGCCCGTTTCCAAATTATCCCAGACCTAATAACTTCCTTCTGTTCGTCCAACAAACGTGGGAAGGAGAGGGGTTCGATGGGTGGAACCGGTGTCAGTGTACGAAAGTAAGCAGCCAGCGCGTTCTTTAGGTCGTGCGATAGCATTCGTGACCGTGGACTCTTTATTCCCTTCGATAGATGCGAAGTAGAGACGGCGGAGAGAAAGAAGAGAGAGAGAGAGAAAGAGGGACAGCGGCGGCGAAGTCGAACGCGGAGAAACAAGAGAATTCGCGCTTCCTCCGTCGACTGTACTCCGCGGTTTCTGCAGTGGCGTGCATGCGTGCGCACGGTTGCACGCTGCTCGTGTGTTCTATATGCGTGTGGCTGGTTGGTCGCCAGTACGTATGTGTGTGTGTGTGTGTGTTAGTGCGTAGAGAGACGAAAGACTGGAGCCGCAGATTCCCTTTGTCCGGCGTTCGCGCGCGCGCAAGCTCTGCAATTCGCGACTCCGCCGACTCTCCGGAGTTAGTCCTTTCTTTCTCGAACAGACGAAAGAGAGAGACTGTGGAGGGAGAGAGAGAGAGAGAGAGAGATTTCGCGCACGCTCGCCTCCCTGTGTTCGCCGCCGTCCGCCTTCTTCCACCCGGTTTTCCATCTTTTTCTATCCCCCGCGAGAAGGTTTGCGTTCCGTCCTTCTCCACGCGATACACACACTTGGTCCACCTCCCGAAACCCAACCGTTGTGTGCGGCTCACACACACAGCGTGCCCTCTCTTTTCCCTCGCGTCGTCCCCGCTTGTGTTCGCCGCGAGTTGTTGCGTTCTC